AGATGTATTATATGATGACGGATCGGACTGTGTTATTGAATGATTTTAGAGTATGCTCTTTATTTTTATTTTCATTACAAAATGATTTTATTTTTTGATATTATACCATTTAATAAAACTGCATGGTGACGCATGCGTCCATACTTTAAACGCGTTCCATTCGCGCAACAGTCCTGCGGGTTGCTGGGGTCGAACTTCAACAGCTAATGCACCGGAATATCCGTCTATATAACCCTAATAGAATCTTGTCGCATCGTCGCCTATATCATGCTGTGTACATTAGATTATAAGATTTACGGAACTAGTTCGATGACATAAGCCTAAGGACGGGTCATAAGTACTTATGTCATTATTTTATCCTATGGTCATCAAGTAAAATGTTTTCAGAAGTCTGTCAGCTTGTTGCAGTGTTTCTGTTCAGCACGTGTTACGTCATCTGTAAGCAGCACTCCAGGTAGGGTATTCTCATTATATTCCATGAGAGCGTAGCTCAAAAACAAAGTCGTAAACTGTAAGATTTGAATAAGCGAATAATGCACATTTATAAATATAAATGTGCAATAATTACTTTTTCTCATTTCTGTTCCTTCAGCTTAATGTATTTCAGGATTAACGCACACACACACTACATCTGTACAAATTAATTGGCCTTTTATCTTTTAGTACGCTCTTGGAATGTCTTGTCTTTGTTGTTGATGTTAAGTACTTTCTTTCTTATTAGTTTCCCTTGAACTCACAGCAACACAGAACTATATCCAGCGGCGCAAAAACACATAAAAACGTCACTGAGCATGTTTTTTGGCTGGAGGCTGGAGATGTGATTTTTGTCTATTTAACTCAATCATACTCTAACCAGGAAACAGACTTGTTCACACCTATACGAGCGCAACCGTTAGGTTACTGTACAATGGCTTCTTATGAACAAGGAAGAATTTAGAAACTTCCTTTGAAAAGCTTATGCTCATTAAAATAACAGTGTGTTACTTCGCAGAAGGAGAACGAATAAAATATCTTAGTAAAATATTATATTTAAACTAAACTTTTTGGTTGTTATTTCTTGCTTTAGATATATATACTGTATAAAATACGATACGCCTAAGTATCTATAGGACTTGCTTGCATTTGAGGTGGTGTTATTTAATTAAGATATTAAGGTGAGTTGTAGTCCTTTTTGAAGAAATCAAATGTAAAACACCGAGAATGCAACAAGATAGACACAACATTACACAAAATCAACACATGTAGTTTTTTTAAAAGTAAAATTCTGAAATTGATCTTAAAAAATCAATTCACATCTTCCTTAAACAAGTAACCTGTAATAACGGTGTATTAGTATGGTATATTAATATGACAATGTTAAGCAGTGTTGTACTATGCATACTGAGACGCATACTAAAAAATTCAGACATATTAAAAGCTTGAGGTGATTTTATTTTCTAATACTTCCTGAAGTAAGAAAAACAGTAAATATCACCAGCTCTATTTTTGCTTTTGCAATTAAGGTTGATGCGAAATGCGAAGGTGCGAATACAACATAAATGAATGGTTCGGCCTAATAAGATTGCAGATACAAAAGTGCAATGTTGAAAATGTGGTCCGTCTTGCTTATAAAAATTTAAACACTAGAGATTAGTTTATTTTAGTTGTAGTTTGTGTAACCTGTAAAAACTATTTTTTGGGAGGAAGGGGGGAGTGCGCCCGTTAAATGTGGTTTACACTAAGTTGTTTTTCAACATTGAGTCATATATGATATAGGAGATGTTTTTGACTTGTTTAGGCTAACTAAAACTAATAACAACATTACAGCGTGCCTATGGAGACGACTTGTGTGTTTTAAGCCTAATTCCTTTTTTTAAATATGTATTTTTATAAAAGAAATTAGCAGAATTGTTTGGTTCATCAAACTGATGAGGAAATCTACAAAAAAATGGAGACAAAAACATTAAAGACATTAAAGGTTTTAGCTTTGTATCTTATCAGTATATAGCTTCACTAAGAACGATTTCCCAGTTATCAATATTTACAGTTATATATTTGTTATTTTAGCAGTGTTTGAGCTAAATGTTCTTATCTTCGTTTTTCTTTTTCAGACAAATTTTTTTTATTGTCTTCACCCAATTAACGTGTGTGTTTACCTTACTAACGCCCTTAACTAAAACGAGTAACAATTGAACACTACAGCATCTAAAACTTTATAAGAGGATTACATTATCCCATGGTGTAGGTAAACGTATTTTAACATGTACTCTAGAAGTGTTACTTCAGAAGAACATGGAGATATAAAACAACCAAAATCCATGTTGGATGCTTTCTATTATTTTGTCAGTTGATCCACTAACATAAGGTGATCTCAAGACTTACTCCAATAATAGGTTTGAATTTACCGCAAAATTCATTGAAGCACGAACACTGCATTCATACGAAGTCGAAACTAATATTGCACTGGATACTAGCAACAAAACTTGTAATTACGATTGCCGTCTTCCTTAATTGGGAGAAACTCCGTAATGTAACAGAAAATGAGATTTGCTGACTTAGTACCATCACAGGAACATAGCATGAATCTTGTTCACTTAGTACCATCACAGGAACATAGCATGAATCTTGTTCACTTAGTACCATCATTGAACTACAACATGAATCTTGATCTCTCAGTATCATCTTATAACCACAGTATGAACCTTGTTCACCCAGTACCATCATATAACCACAGTATGAACCTTGTTCACCCAGTACCATATATAACCACAGTATGAACCTTGTTCACCCAGTACATCATATAACTACAGTATGAACCTTGTTCACCCAGTATCATCATATAACCACAGTATGAACCTTGTTCACCCAGTATCATCACAGAACTACAGGGTTAACCTTGTTCACCCAGTACTATCACAGAACTACAGGGTTAACCTTGTTCACCCAGTCCCACACAGAACTACAGGGTTAACCTTGTTCACTCAGTACCATCACAGAACTACAGGGCTAACCTTGTTCACCCAGTACCACCACAGAACTACAGGGTTAACCTTGTTCACCCAGTACCATCACAGAACTACAGGGTTAACCTTGTTCACCCAGTACCATCACAGAACTACAGTATGAGTCTTGTTCTCACAGACAAATTACATTTGTACCTGAGTTTTAACAATGTAGGATAAGTAGTTTTAACCAAACTTCTCAGTTGGAATTAAACGTTAATTGACTAACAGACGACAGACCTAGGCGCTTAAGAAATTAGTTACTTAAAGTCTAGGAAAGCTACTAGCAATGCTAGAAAAACAATTTTAACGCCATGTCATTTATAAGTGCGCATTTATGGAATGCAATAATTTCCTTCTGAAGACCTATTGTTACAATGATTTAGTTGGAATGTAACCAACACATTCATTGACTTAAATCATATTTATTCCTTTTATTGACTTTTAAAAACTACAACTATATACAAGAAAAATCCGCTTACATTACAGACAAAGAATTGTGAGTCCTAATAATTGAACATTGTTTTATTTGAATTACATTGTACTTTGTATTATTCTGATGTCAGACTAAGAACAATAATTTTCATAAAAGTAGGTGTGTTTTGTACATGTTTCTGAAATAAGCTTCAATAATTTAATCTTCATTCTTTATCCTGAGAAGTGAAATATCTTTATTATGTTTTGAATTATGACTTTCATTTGGTCAGGCGTGACTAGAGGGAAGGCAGCTAGTCATCACCACCCACCGCCAACTCTTGGGCTACTCTTTTACCAACGAATAGTGGGACTGACGGTTACATTATAACGCCCCCACGGCTGAAAGAGCATGTTTGGCGTGCGGTGGGTGTTCTTGTGCCAACTATTTGGAAATCACGTATCTTCGAATTCACAGTTCGGGCATGCTAACACCATGCCTGGCCCCCCTTTTTTATGAAGGGCTTGTGAGCTTGTTTGTGCTTTACATTTAGTACATAATATATATACCATTTTTTATATATTTAAACTGGATTTTAGTTTCAACGAGTCTGAACGAGCCGTTAAGATTATTTTCTTTTAATTATTCTCGGTATCACTTATTACTATTAATACAGTTATGTTTAATTTTTACCACGTGATTTGAGATTCAGTTTAATGACTTAAGCCCTAATAACAACAACAAAAAACTCAAGCGCATGCATTTTTTTTGCTATTAGTCACCGTGAAAAACGTATCAAAAATAATGTTATAGATGTAGAATTAAATTAACGAAAAAAAAGGTAAATTTATAGCCTGTTTAACAGAAATATCTCAGATTTTCTAGTGATCCTGTTGGTGCTGTTGGAATAAATTTCAATTCTACGACGGACCTGGCGATCTTAGACGAATTATTACGAACATACGATAGGAGAGAGCTACCCACAACTCATCTGGGTAAGCTCGAGACAGGTCAGATGTGAATAATCTGAACAAAACGAAACTGTGTTAAAGGTTTAGGGTTAACCAAGTTAGGAACTTCAGTTTGTAGAATATTTTGTCTTTATTTCTTTCCATTTCCTCGTTGTTCTTGAACGTCAGCTTCTGTCGAATCAGTTGCGGTAAAGTTCCTAATCTTAACTTTCACAATATTTTCTGTGTAATATGTTTTTATGTTACTTGACACTCTTATTAAAAGAATGGTTTGATGTGAAATTGAAGATTATATACATAAAGTACGTTTTCACGCACACACATATTTCTGTGATATAGAAATTTTACACAGTATCAGAGGAATGACAACACAGTTCTTGTTAAGTATTATTAATTTTAAACGAAATAACTTGTTATCTACTTTTCTACTTTACTTTCCTATCTATCTAAGTTTAAGTGAAAAATTGTAAATTTAATCTAAGATGTATGTATTACTGGTGTTAACTTTACATTCTAAGATTTTTTCCCCCTTTTCTTCTTTTTATAGCAGTTATTGCTAAATAAAATGTTAGAGGTTGTTCTATAGATGTGAATAACCGAGTGGTTAAAAATGATATTATGCATCATAATGCAGAAATTATTGTATTACAAGAAACTGATATTTATGTAGAGAGACAGTTTTTATTATGGAATAATTGGAATTATAATATAATTCATTCCTATGCTACACAATAGCATGGATCTGGCATGGTTTACATGGTTTACTTATGTAAACTAATAGGTTTACATAAGTTATCTGGGAAATAAATCATATTCATCACTGAGTATAAAGGTAATATTTTACATGTATTGATAAAATCAAAAAGAGTTAAATTTACATTTGTCTAACGTGTATTTACCACAATGTCACGAAAAAGCACATGAATGTTTAGATTATATTGAAAAACACTTGAATGAAATACAAACAATGATTTGGTATGTTTAGCTGGAGATTTTAATGTAACATTAAATACAGATTTAGTTCGTATACCTTCGGGAAAACATAGATTTCATATAGTTGATAGATCAAAGAATTTGTTAAATCAGTTTGGTTTATCCGATGTTAGTTGACAGATTAAAGAATTTGTTAAATCAATTTGGTTTATCCGATGTTAGTTGACAGATTAAAGAATTTGTTAAATCAATTTGGTTTATCCGATGTTAGTTGATAAATTAAAGGATTTGTTAAATCAGTTTGGTTTATTCGATGTTAGTTGATAGATTAAAGGATCCTTTAAATCAATTTGGTTTATCCGATGTTAGTTGACAGATTAAAGAATTTGTTAAATCAGTTTGG